ATTGATTTAGAATGTGCAATATTGAAATAGATTCTCTGATTATGAGTGAATTGTGAGCCTCAAATGTCAGTAAAAGCTTGTTTTAGGTGGCGTCAGAGTGTGAACCAGTATCTCCTTTGTTTACTTGAGCTGCTGCTAAACTTCCTAACAGGACTTAAATATGCATGTAATAGTACTTTTCCACTATATGGAGGAACAGAAACATCAAAGTCAGTCAACATGTATGATTACCAGCAGCAGTAGCTTTAGGTTTGAGATACCTGCTGGTTTAACACGTCCCTGACAGCACTTCAGTCGTGTTTTCATGTTTCCATGAGGACGGAGGTTTTCAGTCAGAACGGTGCTCGTGTCGACAGGATTGTTTTTGTTTTTAGAGAATGACAGAGTAAAAAAAACTCATTTTAAAAATACCTGTGTTCTGTGGAGTGGTCCTCAGTCCTTCCACCTGATCCAGACACCTGCCAGCCCAGCTGTTCCCCGTTCTCAATTAACCCCAGTGATTGTAGCGAGGCCAGTTTTCAGACAGGTTTTCGTCGGCTGTGCCAATTTGCTGAACCAATTCAGATTCCCTGTTTCTGGCCTGTAATGTTACTGATCTGTGTTTTCTGTTAGCCGGCCCGCCGACTTCTGAGATTTATGTTCCTGTTTGTTTCCTTCTCCAACCGTCTGACCGTCCCTATTTAGCGAACTGGCCTTTGCTCTGCTCGGTGAGTCTGTATTTGGGTCTTCGGGTCCTGATGCTCGTAAAATGAATTTGGACATTCTTGGTGAGCGGAGCTGTCCAGGGATTTATTTAGATACCCACAACCAATACATATAAATCTTTCCTTGAGACGGGGCGCTGGTGGTTGGCATGTAGCGCTCTTCAAGAGTTAGGTTCCTGCAGAGTGCATGATCCGGTGGAACGGGGTTCTGTGCACGATGAAATGTGAAAACTGTTGTTGTCTCTCCTCCTCGCTAACCAGACCTCTGTTTGCATCTCTTCAGAATGTCTCTTTGCAATAATTTCATATTAGTAACGCTGGAGAAGTACCTGTGTAGATAAATGGATGGCGTGGAGGCCAAAGTTGACGTCCAGATTTACGTCTTTGGCCTTCAGGACAGATGCAGTTCACACTTAAAGTACAAACAAAACTTATCTATTTGAGCACAAATGTCATACTTTGTCATTTTCCTATTACTTTAAGGCATCACATTTTTCTATATGTTCAGCGATGTGCAATATCCAGATGTGTGATATCAGTTACACAACAGTTTTTATAATTCTTAATACACTAAATAAACTATCCTTGCAAAAATAAGCCACATTACTGTTCTCATAGGTTGCACTTGTACATTTCATTTTCTACTATTCATTTGGTACATTTCTTTCTGTACTTCTTCTTTTCGAACTGTTTTCTGATTGGACTGACAGGATCACTCAAAGGAATTCTGTTATATTCTAACCCAAGTTTTCATCTTTCAGTTTAGTGAATCTGACTCCTGTTTTCTATTAGATTCAATCTTAAGATAAGCCTTTATTAATCCCCCAGTGGGGAAATTTGCGGTGATGTAGCAGCAAGGAGGCAGTGCAAACATATAAGGAACATTTGTAGGAATGATGTGCATACGTCCATGTGGGGATATTTAGATTTTGCACAGGTTCTTCCATAACTAGAAGTCCTCACATAAGTAATACTGATACTGCACATATTCTTGTGAAGCTGCACCAGTGTGGATGATGTCGGTTTCTCCATGTGTGCTTCACTGGGAGCGGTGCTGGTTGGTTGTGACTGGTCGGTGGGTTTGGATCTTGAGCTTCAGATTTGAATAAAAAAAGACAGACAAGAATGCAAGAATGCTTCATGACACCATTAAATAATATAAAGACTCAGCTAGGTTTTATTTTGTTCGAGAAATGTTCTGAGAAAGTTCTGCAAAGTTCTACTGTGAAGTTCTCTCTTCATAAAACAATTTGAGACAGTTGCATTGAGAACATCCTTCCTCTGTTATTACTGCAAGAACAACATCCCCATGACAGGAGTGTTTTTACAAAAGCACATTCTGTCTTCTGAGGCCTCGAGAACATCTTGACAACGTGGTTCGAATGTTGGTTTGAGAACGTTTTTCTGTCTGATAACATCCTTTAAAGGTTGCATTTGAAGCAGGACGTCTTAATTAGCTTAGCTGGATTGACAGATAGATGTGTGTGCATTTAGGATATCAGCAATACGGGTCGACTCATTATTAATCTGGTGGATTATTAGAGCCGATATTCAGCATTTTGTCAATTATTAGTATTGCATTTTTTTTTAAAGTTATTTTTTTGGCCTTTGTGCCTTTATTGGATAGTTTTAGTGAGAGAGAGAAAGGAAAGTAGGGGAGAAGAATGGGGGGACGACATGTGGGAAAGGGTCTTGAGTGGGATTTGAACCCATGACCTCCACATCAGGGACTGTAGCCCTGTACATGGGACTCCATCTCAACCAGGTGAGCTTGGCTGCTTCCGGGTACTGCATTTTTTTTAAAAAGGCGATTCCCAATAAATAGATGAATCTAAAACTGCACCACTTCTGCCTTTCTCCCATAGATAGATACTGCATTCATCCCCTTGGGCACATTTAAGGTATCCAGTTGCTCACACATGTTGGATTTAAGAAGAAAATAGAGAAGCTGATGCGCACAATAACTTGCAGATGTTGCCAGTAGAGGAAAAAAAATGGTGCAAAATTATGTATTAAAAGTCTAAATACAGTCTAACAGTAGAAATAATGATGGGTTAACCTTATAGGAGCATTATTTGAAATGATAGATGCCCATAAAACGTAATTAAAACATTAGATTCCAACGTTTTCTTGACTGGAACTTGTAGGTAATGTTGTGGGAACGTTCGCTGCTCGCTTGGGGGGATGTGACATGTTTCTGGAGCGCTTTCAATGGGATACTGAAGGAAGGAGAGAGAGAGAGAGAAAGAGAGAGAGACAAGTAAGATATATGTGCATGGACACACAGCGAGCGAGAAGCGAGAGAGACGCGCAGCCAAGAGAGAGAGAGAGAGAGAGAGCCGAATCAGAGAGGAAGAGGAGGAAGAGGAGGAGGGAGCTGATCCACAGTCGGTGTGTTTGAGGCAACTAAGACGAAGGAGAGACCTGCGGACACACACACACACACTCTCACTCTCTCTCTCTCTCACACACACACACACACTCGAGCGAGCGAGCGAGAGCGAGAGAGAAGAAGAAGAAACGGGAAGGGGAAGAATGAGGAAGAAGTCCGCCGTGCTGCGCGCCTCGTCCCAACAAATGCGGGTTTGCTGATGAAGCAGCGCGCCGGTCACCCGATCATACAGGTCACCCAGGTCGCGCCGCATGGAAACGAGGAGTCAGAAAACAACAGCAGCAACAAATAAAAAGCTGCCAGTGCATGGGAATCCGGACTCCTCTCCCCTCCTTTTGTGCGTCTCGCTCGGTGGATACGCCGTCTTGGCTGGCGTATAAGAGCTCCCTGCGTCTCCATTACCATTCCCCACTACTGGCTTACCTCTACTACTACTACTCCTCCTCCTGCTGCTGCTTCTCCTCTTCCTACTCCTGCTAGTATTACTAGTAGAGCTGCTTTTTATTATTTTTTTTACTACTGGCTGTCTTCTCCCGGATTGGATAAAAAATAAGAGAAAAGGTAGGACGCTCTGCAGTTTTCTGGGTGCGTTTTCAGCGGGGATAATCGTGTTAATAGAGATGAATGCGGGGGGTCTTTTGCTTCAATTGCGCGGCATTGTCTGGGGAAAAAAAAGCAAGTTTTGAATGGGATGCAGGGAAAAAAACGGGGGGGGAAACCCTCTCAAGGAAGCCCCGATTTGGAGAGCCGTAAGCGCCATGCGTCGGGAGGGTTTTGGATGCGATGTGGAGACGATGTTTCCTCACCCTCATCCTCCCCCACCACGCTTTTCCACACTGCGCTTTTCCTCCTCTGTGATTTGGGAGGTTTACGGAGGGAGGACCGCTGTGGTTTTTAGAAATCACTGATGGGAGGTGTTTTGCCAAATGCGTTAAAATGAGCAGCCGGTTCAGGCACCGCTGCAGGCGGCTTCCTTCTGGCTCCGAGGGCTGTATGTACATATATATATATATTTTTCTTTTCTTCTCGCCCCTCACTCCCACCTCTCATTCCCTGCCTCACTTATTTCTAGAGGAAGACTGATTAAGGATGCAGAGCACGTTCAGATAACCACTCTCGCACCTTCTCTTTTTTTGTTAATACGCGCACAATGTGGAAGTTGGGCGACAAACATGCGCAGTGCCGGTTAAATCTGCCTTATAGATATGGTAATCCGGTTAAAAGGATGCATTGAGAGGCACGTTTGCGCAATTCTGCAGGTCTGTCTAGCCTTTTTTTTTTTTTTTTTTGCGCCAGTTCATTTGGGAGCTTGTGGAGAGCTGTTTTGCGCATCAGTGCAGAGCAGGTTGGGGAGGAAAGCTTGGACCTCCAGGTTGTAAACTAGAATCAGTCTGAATTTGAGTCTGTTTGGCTGCTATGTTTGGAGAATGGTTCTAGTGGCACAGCTTCTCACATCAGTCAGCGCTTGCTGTAAAAGCTGGCACACCATAATATTAGAGCAGGCAGCAGACAGCGGCTTTTCATTCCCCTGATGTGACACTACAAACACTTCATCTTGTGAGGAAGCGCTTGGCACATCAGGCAGGTACCATCAAGGCTTTCCAGGCAATTCTTTTCCAGCTGACTTCAGTCGAGGAGGGGCTTTATGAGCATGACACAGAGGAACTGTAGCTCATCCGCTGTGGATGATGTGAAATATTTATTTGGCAATGAAAAAAAATGAAACAGCAGCCAGGGGTCTTTTTTTTTTTATTTTACTGCTTTATTTACCCTCCGGCTGGTGGTGCAGTCGGTTATTGAGGGGGAGCAGAAGATGTGGTTGGGAGGTGATGCTTCACTTTTGCAGAAAGTGATGTCTGATATTACAACAGAAAAATGAACTTTTTTTTCTCCGTGTCTGAGCCAGATTGAGGTCAGCTCTCGGTGGGTCTGTGATTAGGCTGCTTTTAACCTGGTGGAGGCAGAATGTGCGGCGCAGACACAAGTGTGTGCAGGCTGCTGAGGCTGTGACAACTGCTGGGTCACTGTGTTGTAAATAAGTCAGGGGCTGAGCTGCACTCTGGTCGGAGCCTCGGCGCTGTTGCATAATGCATGTGGTGTGAATATGATCAAAAATTCCAATTACAGATTGCTGTTTTTTTCATTTTTTTGTCATTTCTTTTGTCATATTACATATAAATGTCTGCCTTGCTGTGATTTAATCTACTTTTTTCCTTCCTGGGTTGCTATATTACAAGCCATCTTCATGATAAAAGACTGGCAAAACTCCTTTTCCCTCCCAAGTGAGATCATTTAAATAAGATTTTCACGTTCCCACGCAGGAAAAAGTTGTTCTGCTTCTTTCTGTGAGAGGGACCCTGCTCATGGTGGTTTACAGTAAACAGGGTCCTCTTATGGCAAGGACAGGTCACACTGTGATCCTGCAAAGTGAAGTGAGAAATGCAAAGGGGATGTAGGTTTTGCTGCAGGTTAACAACTTCCTGGAGCTTTTTTTTCATTCAATACAGCTTCTTAAAGGTTGTCCTCGTGGATGCCAGTCGATTCCAAACAATAAACTCAAACATAGTGGTACTGATTAGTTGTGCTGATGCTGAGATCACAGACAGTTCAGCAGCTAACAGGCTAATAGGTAGCCATCAAACCCAGAGGCAGGGTTCATCCATTAGAAATCAATATGCAGATTGGTGAGTTCGCAGCTAACTCGCCGTCCATCATCGTTCAGTGCTGATAGGTTAATATGCACGACCTGCTCCGTCGGGGGAAGTCCTCGGGTTAATACGTGGCCGCGCTGCTGCTGCTGCTGCTGCTGCAGTTCACGCACGTCTGGGTTCGGCGCAGATGCAACGCAGATAACGTAGAAACACAAACCAGATTCCTGCAAACCGGACCGACTCGCCTCGCGCGTTGTTTCTCCAACAACATGTGGACAACAGCTGCTCTCAGACACAGGAGTGCAGCAGTAAACCGGCAGTGAGATGTATGTGGTGTCCATCTTTCGTATGGTTATGCACAAGGGGGGAAATGAACTATTGACACAGATGTGGGCTCAGTTAAATGGACAAGCTGTGTCAGGGCGATGCTAATAAATGGTCCTAGTATAAGTGTTGTAAGGATCTGATGCAGGGTGCTATCAGCGTAAACCAAAACACTTACAAATCTTCATGTGTCATGTGTTTGTCCACGATAAACACAGCCAGAGGAAACTTTACCTTCATGATGGAAGCTGCGGTGTTTACAGGAAACACGGCAGCTTTCAGGAGAGTCCGTGGTTGATCAGGTGAAGCACAGCCCTCCTCTACAAGTAGCCGAGTCCAGCGATAAAGCATGCATGAACCCAAACATGTGTCCTGGAGCACCGTATAGCACAGTGTGTTGATAAGCTCATAAACACAGGAGTCGGGTCACATCTGTTGAATCTTTAAAGCACATTAGTCTGTGGATGCTTTACAGTTTAGGCCCCTTTGGTTTGGATGAAGTGAAGCTGCTCAAAAAACTTCTAGCTGTGTGGTTTGATGGATATAAAACGACTGAAACAAGCCGGTATTGAGTTGACTGGAGCCCATCTTGGAAGCATTCATTTTTTACTGTAAGGCCAATATTCACTCTCAGCTTCAGCTTGTTCAGAGTGAAACATCTTCCAAGGAGTCTCTGCTCGCTGTACAAGTCGAATAAAAACAACACAGACATGAAATTGGGTTTTATTCAATCAAAGTTTGAGGCTATTTTCCAACTTCTCAAGTAAATCTAGATGTTAAGCCACTTGATGCACCTCTATGTTCCAGCCAGCGACTGTCTTCATCAGCAGTTTGGTGCCTGTTGTGGGTTTGTCTGTGATTTATTGCTTTTCGTCCTGATAACAGCTGAGCTGTCCTCATGACAGGCGTGAGTGGAACAAAGTGGGAAAAAAAAATGGAAATGAAACCAAAACACAGCTGGCAGTAAAATGCAGAGTAGAGCTGCTGTGTATTGATTATGTACAAATATCATTTGATCTGCTGGTAACATAGAAGTATTGATTAGTGCAGCTTTAAGTATTTTGAACTTTTTGTGATTGAGAATCAGCGAAGTCAACAGGAAGCGACCGTGTGAGTTTGACAGTTTGCTGGTAACAGATTGTGCTAAACTAAGAAAAGTAAAGCAGTTTTTGGCTACTATCACATTTTTGGCTCATTTTTAACTGCAGAATAAAGTCCAGGACACCTTACGGGATATAAAGTATAGAAACAGCACAGCCATGAGTAGAAGTAGCAAGAACTAGAAGATCTCTCTTGTGCAGTTGGGTGCAGGTGTTTGGTTGGAAATCATAAAAAAAGAAACCGAAAGTTGAATTTCTTCGACTACTTATTTTACAAAAAAAAAGCAAAAATCTTAAATCAACGTTTTCCCAAGTCCCCTACATGAGTCAGCCAGTACTGGATTTTAAAAATGATGGCTCAACTTACTATTTAACTACTTGAGTTTTTAACTTTTTTCCGTGCTTCTGCTTTGTGCGCTTTAAAAACACCGCCTGCAGTTCAGCCCAGATCGCATGAAACGTCCCTCAGTTTTTGTCACATGATTGTCGATTGCAGCTGAGTCACAAGTAGCTGCACAGCTGTGCTGAGGGCTGCAGAATTTTTAAAATATTTTCACAGAATCTGGTGCTGGTTGTTTATGTTTTATGAATTTTTAAGTGAGGCTTTTGAAATTAAGTACATCTGATGAAATGTCATTTTAAGCTTTGATTTTTTTAAACAACATGTCACAGATGAGTAGTTTGAGGACTGTTTGAAAGTTGAAAATCCAACAATTCTTGATGTTTTTACAGTTTCTGGAGCTCAGAAATAATCTAACTTTTAAAATACAAATCTAAATTTAAACCTCCCTGCTGGATGTTGGGGCTCAGAGGGTTAAACTCTTCAGGACGACTCATGATAACAAAAAGCATCTTCACAAGACTCTCAGGCAAGATAGAGGAATCATAGAGGAATCATGTCACAGCAGACATCTCCACCCATCTACCAGTTTCACACTTCACACCACCAGCAGCTCGGCGGCGGCGGAGCTGCAGAAAGCTGTTTGCTTGTGGTTACTTCTCCTCCCTTGAATGAACGTAGATAAGGGAAGTAACGCAACTTTTTTTGCTTTCAAAGATTGGTTCTGTTTTTTTTTTTTTTTCTCTCGATTGCACAACAGCTCGTCATTGTCCTCCCACATGTTCGTGCCCCTCCGCCGCGGCCCGGATAGACAGACGAGCAGATAACGTCGGATGAATGGACGGACACAAAGACGGGCAGTAGGAAATAATCCTGCGTGTTACGGTGCCAGCCTGATAACTTCCTCCTCTCCAAGTGTAATAATATGACAAGACATCTTGGCTCGGGGATTGGCTGCTGGGCAGATCCAGGCTAAAAGAGCTCAACATCACTCTAATGACGGTAAACGCGGACCATTAATCTTCCGCCGTTTGCAGGGGCTACTGTGTGCGTCTGCGTTGGTGTCTGTGCTGACCGGTTGCACACAGCGGAAGATCCCTGCGGTTTTTATTTCATTAGGGGAGGTGAGAGTATGTTAGGCGAGCC